GATCGGCCCCATAGCATCGGGGCTGGCTTTCGGAAAGGAATTTTGGAAATGTGCCAAAATTTGCGATGTTTCCCAAGTGGCCGCCATACCGTGCGGCATAACGTTACTCACGGTGGTATGGCGAGCCCATAAAAAGCAAAGCCGCGGCCAAGGCGGCGCTCGGCAAAAAAACACCCACGACCTCGCTCACTACCCCCGCCCCGGCGGCTATATTTGGTAGCTTCAGGTTAGTCTATGTCTACTTTGCTATGCTCCTTATTTTTGTACTTCTCTTGTTTGCATAAAAAACTACATGATGCGGGCACGGGCTCTACTCCGAGTGGTCTTTTTTCTGTTGGTGCGCGCGGAGAATGGTATTGCAGGTTCTTCGATTGTGGCCGGCACTCCAGCTGGAACCAACGCTGACGACAGCAACGGAGCAACGCTACCCCAGTTTGTAAGTAGATCAAATTCCTGGACCGGAAGAGGTGGAGTTCTAGCTCGGGCAGTCTCGTCGATCGCGACCGGGGCTCGCATCATTCGCTCCCTGTCTCCATCGTTTCGATCTGGATCCTCGTCTAGATCCTCGCCCAGGGTTGTCCCCCTGCCCACCGTAGAAGGTGCGCGGGAGCTGCTGCCTGCTGGGTCTCCCCTTCATCTGCCGACCTCGACCTCGCGTCCCTTCGATCCAATCGTGCCGACTACACCTGGTGGCCCCCAACATCGAGATGATGCGTCACGTTCGGAGGACAGCGGCCATGTGCGGGGGAAGCAGCCCTCTGCTCATCGAAGTAGCCGTGGTTTGGACCCGCTGAAAGCTTCTCCTGCCCCGGACGACCACCCGAATCGTGGGCGGAGGATCACGCAAGAAATGAAGCGAGGGGTGCTCCTCTCACCCGCCCTACCGGCGGAGAGGACGACGACAAGTACCGCGGGCTCGTCCTCCTCTGCTGCACCAGGAGCACTAGACGAGATGAAAGTGATCCGGAACAACTTCGTTGGCGGGACCACAGCTTCGGTACTACACGCGCAAGACAAAGACCCCGCCGGCAGCTCGTCCTCGTCCGGGCTCATCGCGACCCGGCAGCAGGTACTCGACCAGATGGAGCAGGAAACGTGGCAAGCGGGGCAGGGCGAAGCCGGGTACAAGCGATTCATGCAGAAGCTCGAAGACCACCACCGGGCCAAGGACGGCAATCTCGTCCACCGCTCTCGGTTGGAGGCGGACACTGAAACTGATGTCGCACGACCCGCTGCCGTAGCGACCCTGCAACTAGACGCGCACGCGGCGAAAAAGCTGGACCGGCACCGTGGCCGCGGGCAGGGAGTGTCCGCCAGTCCGTTGACTGAAGTGCCCGTTGACGAAGAAACTACTACCCTGGAGCGCGTCGAAAAGGCGGAGGCATTGCTGCGCTCCGTTTTGCCGCTCAAGCAAGAACCGCGAAATGTAGCACCGCATGAAGATGTTGAACTGGATCCGGTCACGGAACACCTTTCCGAGCTTCCGACTTTCCAGCAAGACCTGCTGGCGGCCCAGCTTTGCCTAGCCTTGTCAACAGATGAGGTCGTCCAGCGGGAAGCGGCGGGCGAAAGAGCGGTGCTTCAGAACTCAACTCTCGTGCATTCGAGCACCGCAGCTGTTGTATTATCTGCGGCACAGACACTGCGGGATATCGTCCACACGACTACTGCTCAACAAGACTGTCCGCCTCCGCCGGCTCAAGCTGCAATTACTGTGGCAGAACAAGAAGAAGATCATTCCCATCTGACGACATCTTCGCGGGATGAGGCACTACTACTACACCCTCAAGAATTTTCTCCACAACTACCATCCTCCCCCCAAAGGTGGAAGTTGAAGACGCAGGAGGAGCACCAACATCAACCAGCGCCTTGGGAAGTTGGAGAAGAGGTCGCGTTACTGGCGAGACTTCTCGATGAACAGTTGCGGCTTCTGCCGCCGGACCAGGACGAAACGTCCTATGAACAGGCGCGACAAACGAAATGGACGAACAGTGCAGGAGACGATGTCTCGAGCGAGGTGTCGCTGACGGGCTCCTTAAATTTTTCCAGGTTCTCGACGCCTTTGATTTCCGAGGACCAGTGGTCTCGGCCACTGTCGAGCTGTCCCTCGGTTTTCAATTCAAATTCCACCGAAAACGTGCCGCGCGATGAAGGGAGGCCCGGTGTTGACGAAGAACAAGTAGTGAAGGTACCATCCTCAGTTGGGTGGGCGCTGCTGCGGAAAGTGTTGCAAACAAAAACTACTACCCTTCGACAAGCAGAGGAGTGCGAAGCAGCTTCCATCAACGCGGACGCAAATACTAGTGCAGCACCAGTATGATCGTGACGAACGGCGTCCAGCAGAAGAGCCAACAAGAGGCCCACTGCGAACGTTGTTGCATCGTTTTGAAGAACATCTTTTGACGTTGTACTACTTCCTAGAGCATGAGTTCTAGCAGTGAATGCACTTTGAAATACCTTATTTTTTTTGATTTTTTATAATAAACAACTTCAAGTGTGTCCGCTAAATGATCTGTGACTAATCAGCGCGACATCGGGCTGCGAAAAATGTACACGTATTCTTATACTTGCTGTAAAATAATTAGTTGAAATGCTACCTGTAGCTAGAGCTACGTCGACCTGGCAACTGCGTCCTCTCCTTGTGAGGCCGCCCTGGTGCAGCTAACGTCAATCGGCATAGGAAGTTTCTGTCTCTAGTGGCGTTTTTATTTTCGGCGCAGGTCGTTGACCTCCGTGTCCGTGAAAAACAAAAACCGCTGTAATGTACGCTCATCCAGCAGAAACCTATAAACCTTTATATTATTGTGAATATCGTCTTTAGATGTTGTTCGCAGTGTCGGAGAGATTTGATTGATACGAGAGACTCGGAGAGTACGAGGGGAAATAAAACTCGGACAAAGTTTTTGTGATTGCAAAACGCACAAATCGGACTTTGGTTTATGTTTCTATTTGGATGCGGCTTTTTTTGACACATGTTCGGCTCTTTTTGACACATGGTCGGCCGGATCGGCCGTAGTGTCATCGGGATTCGGAAAATAAAAAAAAAACGGGGACGGCTCTTTTTGACACATGATGACGGATGTAGGTGCGGAAAGCGAAACCAAACCGAATGCGCGGACTGTCTGACTGCGCTTCTTGGGCCCGGCCTATTGCGAAACACTTCGTAGGAAGACGAAGAAGCAACGAATTACATCAAGACCGATGCCGGGTAGGGGCATGGACACCGAGCGAGGCCGACGAACTACCGATGCCAATGCCAAAGGGCAAGAGAGTGAAACTTCGAACATGAAGTTAGAAACTACGCGGAGGAAACGAGAGAGGGAACCCCGGGAAAGGCTACTGCTCAGCCCCGCGCGGCAATGTATGTGACACACGGGCAATGCCGGGGCGCTAGATTGCTCTTCGACGTCAGTTGATTTCTGCGCGCACCAGATTCGGAAGGTGGCCCCTGGTGTGTCTAGTAAACTGTCGGAAGTCAGAAGGAAGAACAGCTGTGAGGAACAGGTGGACACAGCATCTCGCTGGAAACCACGCACCACGGAAGGAGTGCTCTACCCAACTTTCTGCCTTTTCGCAGCATGCCCCTCCTCCAACCTCCTCCGCGCCTCCAGTGTCTTCTTGCTCGGGCGGCCCTTCTTTTTGTGGACGAAGATCGGCCCGTACTTCGCAGGGTCCGTTTTGTGCAGAGCACGGAAAACACAGCGGCACGTCGTGTGCAACGCGAATGCCCGGCAATGCGACAGACACACCGGCGCCCCGTTTCCGACTTCATGCAACCCCCAGGCCCGGTAGAGGTCTGGCCAGAAAGCTACGACGGAGACCTTCTTCAGGATTTTATAGCGCGCGATCTCCTTCCTGGCTTCCGCGTGCGATCCGAAGAGCAGCGGCTCGACGGTCGGCCACCAGGCCAAGACGTCGTCGATGACGGCCGGAATTTCGTCTGCGTCCTCGTCGCTGCCATCCGTATCTTCCGCGTCTACGCTGCTCGCCTCCTCGCCGAAGAGGTCGCCGTCATCCTCAAACACATCCAACCCAACCTCATCCGCGTCCCCCCGCTCCGCATCGCTCTCGGCCTTGAGCATCAGGAAGCACTTGCTTGGCAGGGCGACCCTGACACCGTTGACCAAGATCGGCGCGCGGCGCTTGATCTGCACTTCGAAAACCCCCGCGCCGGCGCCATCAGGTGGACAGGTTCCGAGCCCTGGAAACTTGAACTGACTGGCGAAACCGGTAAAGCCCCGCTCCGGCGGCAGAAGCTCGGCAACGACGGGCCGGATGCTCGTTTGCAGGAATCGCAAAAACTATCGCCGGGGGGGAGCATTAGTCGACTGGCAAACAACTGCTGGCCCCAAACATGAGCACCCACCTGAGAACCTGCGCCCAAACCTCAACAAACCGGCCCGGACCCAACCCCCTGCCCCACCCCCCTCGCCCCTGGGCGAATCCCTCGCGCGCCATTAAAGCAAACACCAAAAGCAAAGCGCCGAAAGCAAAGCGCCAAAAGCAAAGCGCCAAAAGCAGAGCGGCAAAAGCAGAGCGGCAAAAAGCAAAGCGGCACAAAGCAAAGCGCCAAAAGCAAAGCGCCAAAAGCAGAGCGGCAAAAGCAGAGCGGCAAAAAGCAAAGCGGCACAAAGCAAAGCGGCAAAAACAAAGCGCCAAAAGCAGAGCGGCAAAAGCAGAGCGGCAAAAAGCAAAGCGGCACAAAGCAAAGCG